AAACGGTTTTTTTTTTGTCTGGCAGCTTTAAATGTTAGTTTTTTCAAATAATACTTTGGAACAATGTAGAACAAACATAGAACAACCCAGAACAACCTAGATAATAAAAAAATTCAAAAAGTGGGGGGCTAACTTTTCAGAGGTTAAAGACGACTAATACAGTTATATTCTTCTACATATAGACCAAAAAAGAGACAAATACATGTTGCTATGAATAGCATGCCTACCACTGCAAAATACTGCCCGGGAAATGCTTCCGACATTCAAACTATTTTTGTGCTGCAAAAGTGGGCTGTTCGATCAATTTACAATCATAAAACTAGATACTCTTTTTAAGAGAAAATTTTAAAGAAATCGGTATGACTGTTGCTTCTCAGTACATTTATGAAAATTCAATGTATGTTCGAAAAAATATTTCATTATTTCCTCTAAATAGTGATAAGCACTCGTTTAATACTAGAAATAAAAATAAATTAGATGTACCAATTACAAGGCTCCACAAAATCAATAATTCATTTAAAGGTCTTTGTGTACGCTTCTACAATAAAGTCCCTAGCAATATCCAAAAATTAAGCGTCAATAAATTTAAAACTACCATTACAGGAGTTCTTATTAATAAAGCCTATTATAAAGTGTCTGATTATATTTCGGACAAAAATACTTGGATTTAAACTGTTCCGGCAGGCTTTTTCTATAATTATGATGAAGATGAAACAATTATGTATTGACACCGTAACAATATATATTTTTGTAAATATTGTTACATAACTATTTAACGCTGTGAAGTGTTTATCACCAGTTTTTCTCCACAGCTAAAAAAATTGGAGGTAGGGAAGGGCTTTTTTTTTAACGTCAGGAAAGTGCTTTACGCATACCCCACCGCCTTGGGAGTGGCTTAGCCCATGGCCATGGGAACCCTTACGGATACATCCACAACCCCACCAGTAAGGGTCCGATTCGAACGGACCCATCCAACTTGATGCCCCGGGGCATCGTGGGCATCCCTATCCATCTGCATAGGCCTTTGCAATGCAGGGCCCGGACCTCCCAAGTCTAAACCCCGCTGGCCTCCGTCAGTGAGAGCTAGAAGCCGGTCGTATTGCCTTCTCCTAGTCCCCACCCTCCGACGATGACGGAGAGAATCCGCGTGGCCTTATACCTCACAGACCCTCTCCGCTGCCTTCTGCGAGATGACAACCTCGCAGAAGGTGACCACCCCCCGCCAGTATCAGTCACTGCCTCGCATAGCTTGCACTACGCCAGGCAGGGAGAGACCACCCTCCCCCATCGCCACCACCAGAGAACGACGCTGCTGCGACCACGCCGGACATTCCTCTATGGTATGCCCTGCAGTGTCCACAGCAGCCCCGCACTCATGGCACGACTCGATCGCCTCTCTCAGAATCCGATGCAGACACTTCCCGAAACACCCGTGTCCGGAAAGTACCTGCATCAGCCGAAAGGTAAGCGACCCCCATCCTCTTGTCATCCAGTTCTCAAGTACAGGACGTAAAGCTTGCAGCGTCCTTACTCCCGCCTTGGACGTATCTATCTTCTGTAGCCATAGCTCTTAACAGGCGCTCACTTGCCTCGCGCTTTGCCTGCGCAAGCTCCTCGGGCGCTGGTCTAGCCCCCCGCTCCCTCGCCTCTACCTTACCTTGGTGCACCTCCGCGAGAACCAGGGCGTTCAAATGCCACGGTGGCGTTCCTGCAATCGCACATGCAGCCGCCCACGATATGGTCCTGTACCCTCGTATGGTCCTGAGGGTCTGACCTTCTGGTGTTTACGGAGGAGATCTCTGCATTCCTTATTTAAACCTACCGCCCAGACGGGTGCCCCGTACAGAGCCATACACCTATCACCCCCATGCACAGCCTTTGACAGGTATTGTTGGGCCCCCTATATCTGGCATCAGCTTACTCATTGGAGCCGCCGCGTTGAGTCTGGGATCTAGCTGCCGAAAGTGTTCTTTGAAAGTCTATCTGCCATCCAATACCAACCCTAGGTACTTTATATATTGTTTTATCGGGACCCTTAACTCGTCAACCACAACAGATGTCCCCTCAGGTGGTTTGCCCCCCCCCCGAACGTGAAAAACAATCTCCTCTGTCTTGTTTACCGCGACCCTTAGTCCTATATGCCTGATACGACCTATCACTTAATGTGCACCCACCCTAGCCAAGCGCCTAGCTTCTTGCAGTCTTCCCCCTTGCCATGATCAAAGTGTAGTCTGCGTAACATACAACATTTAACCCGGAAAGTAGGACTCCCCTGAGCACCCAATTATATCCAAAATTCCACAGGAGCGGTCCAAGGACCGACCGCTGTGGAACCCCGCATACCATTTCCCTCTCTATGAGTTCTCCCCTTCTATTTACATATACTACCCTTCTCCCTTCTATTTACATATACTACCCTTCTCCCTTCTAAATACCTTTCGATCACCCTCTGTAAATATCCCGCTACCCCATGGTAACGGAAAGCATCCTTAATGCATCTGAATGGCATTGAATTAAATGCATTGGCTCTCTCTAGGGATATAGCCACTACTTGTTCCCTCCTTTCTAGTGCCGCCGCCGTTAACCTTCGTAGTGCTAAAACGGCGTCTACAGTGGATCTTCCCCTCCGAAAGCCATATTGGTTCTCCGCCAGGTTAGGGCCCACCGTTTCTAGGTGCTGGACGATGCGGTCAGCGAGTATTCTTTCGAATGTCTTGCCCGCCTCGTCCAGCAACACGACGGGTCGATAAGCCGCCGGAGAATCAATTGGCCTTCCCTCTTTCTTAAGAAGACAAAGACGCCCTCTTTTCCACACTGTTGGAAACTCCCCTACCGACAGACATCTGTTCAAGAGCCCCCTGTACTCCTTCCCTAGATGTTTAAGAGCAGCCCATAGTGCTCGCCCCGGGACCCCATCCGGTCCGGGCGCCTTTTTCTTTCGCCTTGGTCTCTCAAGGGCATCCTCTAGCTCTTCTTCTGTTATCTGTGGAATATCCCCTTTCCCCTCCCTCATTTGCGCGGAACTCTGGTACTACTTACTAAAGGACTTCCGTTGGCAGCTCCTCCGGGAATAAATGTCACACAACTCTCTCTAGAAGTATTGGATCCATCGTGTTCATTCGGGGCGCTCCGTGTCGCAATTTATTGCGTATCATTCTGTAGGGGCGCCCCCATGGATTTGTCTCTAATTCCTCTAGGAATTCTTCCCAGGCCGCTGTTTTTGCCTTGCAAATTTCTACTCGACGACCTCCGTGGCCGAGTGGTTTGTACGCCGGGTTTCATGGCGTCGCCGACTCGAGAGGTCCCGGGTTCGAATCCCGGTGGGGGCAGATGTTTGTGTGATGAACACGAGCATTTGTACTCCAGTCATGGATGTTTAATATGTATTTCTATATAAATATACTTATATATGTAAAGTATATGTATTCTATCCGTTACCCTAGTCTCCCATAACACAAGCCTTATAGTGCTTACTTTGGGGCTAGGCTAATTGGTGTGAGTGTTGGAAATATTTATTATTATTATTATTATTATTACTTTGAGTCTGGTCTTTGCTTCCATGTAGGCCTCTCTAAGATGCTCTCGTTCTTCCTATATTCTTACTTTCCTGCGGCAGTATCTATGGAGTTCTCTCCTGGCTCTCATGCTGGCGAGGCGTAGCACAGCTATCTCCTGTGACCACCAATAGACACCTTTGTGTGGTTTGTGGCTTACTCTTGGCATGGAGGCATCGCATACCACCCTCACGATTGTATCCGTTAAGCTAGTATCCCATAACACAAGCCTACAGTGCTTACTTTGGGTCTAGGCTAATTGGTGTGAGTGTTGGAAATATTTATTTATTTACTCGTTGCTTTGAATGCCTTGTGGATACCTTGGTTACCTTTACTATACCGAATCAAAAAGTGATGTGAAAATCAACCTGCCAACACGCCGCTAATACGTTTTGCTTGAGTAATACTTTCTTTGGAAATCTTTTTTCTATGGCAGTATACGCCAAGCGTACCGTTGTTGCTTTGTATGCTTTGAGGATCTCTTAGTTACCTTTACGATACCGAATCAAAAAGCGGGCTAGTGTCAAATGCAACCTGCCAACATCATCCTATTAATGTCTCCACTGCTGGGGTACAGGCCTTCCCTATGGATGGAATAGGGAGATTGGGCCGTGACCCACCACTCGGGCCCACACGGATTGGTAGGTGCTAACAACTGCAGATGCAGCCGGGTCCAACGGCTTATTGTGCCTTCTGAAGCACGGAGGCAGTCGAGATAGAAGATTTTTAGTCACCCATCCAATGACCGACCACTACGTGAGTTGCTTAACTTTAATGATCGCAGCCGAACGCGCTAACTACCCGCGCAAGCGAGATCCTCGAACTATCTGCCAACACGCCACTAATACTATCTGGTTGAGTAATACTTTCTTTAGAAATCTTTTGTCTATGTGAATGTACGCTCAAAAGTCATACTTATACATAGGGCATTACTTCTATGCTTCAGTTTTTAGTTCTTGTTGGGAGCACAAATACATCAATCACTCTAAATTTCTTTTAGTGCGCCGCGTCTTGCGTTATATTCACAGTTGCCATTAAGTTTGATCCTCCGTATCTTCTTTATCCCGACGTTTCCACCACTTTACTCTGGTCATGAGACTGACGTCACGATGTGACGGTAACATAGATTTTACATTTCTATCTGATTCTGGCACTTCACCTAGCTATTCGTGTTTGCTATTTGTAACTTGACGTCAGTCTGTCCTTTTATTTCTTTATAAAGCATCTCTTTAAGGACAGGCTGTTGTCAAGTTTACACAAATAGCAAATACGAAAAGCCAAGTGAGGTACCGGCTTGAGATGAGGAATCGTATTCCATCAACTTTTTTGTGGGACCCACACACCATAACAGGCATGCGCATATTGAACCCTTTAAATATGATATATTTAAAATGCAACGGCACATCTTAAAAGTGTATTTATTAAAATATAATTAATATATTCCAGAGTTCTTCTAACTTCGTGAAGCAAATTGAACGCTCCCTCAAAGATGTACAGGACCTCTTCATTGAATATAAGAAACTCAAAAGTTGTCAAAAGTAGTAAATAATTATAATAAGACTTGCGATTCCCGTTGTTTTTAGATTTATTAACTATTACTAATAATTTTTTGTTGTTGTTGTAATATGTAGTTTATAAATATTACACTGGTTTCATAGGCTAAGCAAAGACTCAAAAGTATTCTTTTAGACACTTTTATATACAAATTTATATATTGTGAGTTGTCGTTTAAATAATATACAAATAATAAAAGTGTTCAATAAGCAATCATTATTTAATATTTTATATGTCTACAAATCATTCGCAAACAATTTTATCAATATTGAGTAGTTTATATATAAGAAGAATCAGTGTGATAAAACTTGGCTAAGTACAGAATGTTTTTTTATTTTAATATTTATATGCTTTTATGTTAAAGGATGACGGTGCATGCTATAATTATTGTATGTTTCAGTTTTGAATTTTTGATAACCTACATGGTAGCCGCTAGGTTAACACAGTTTGTAACTTTAAAGATATGATCGTGTCTTGAAAAAGACTGCATCAATGCATTGATGTATGATTAATGAATAATAATATGAAATCACAATTTTGTAAATTACCTATTTCATTGTGCTTAATAACGGGCTTTAGTTGTTATATTTTTTTATCGTTCTGAGTTTAAAGAGTAATGACGCCAGCATCATGTGTGAAGGCAGCTACCTCTTTTACCCGTCCACCTACGGAAGTCTATTCACTAATTAAATTTGTGTGTCATGGACCAAGTAACATTATTCATACACTATAGTCATTTTGAAAAATGCTACATTTGAGAGGTCAATAATAAATAGTAATGACTAATATAATTTACCTGAAGCTCTACTCTCTTTCTCCGAAACAAAATTTCTGCATCGAACGAATTTAAACAAAATTTCGCTAGTGACTATTTATTTTTCGAACACGCACTTATAGTTGGGAATCATAAACAATTTTCGTGAACGAATGGAATGACTCATGTTTGTGAGTTATTCTTATCTCCACTTTGAGATTACGTTTTTACTTGGAAAGAATATTAATTACATTACGACAAAAGTTTTGATGACATAAAATAACTTTCTTTGACAGTGTTAGCCACCTAATTTTTATAGTTGATGCAATCGATTATATGTCAACATAAAGGAAAAGAATTTTGTATGGACCCCATTTCTACCCCGCAACAGACACGGCAAGTGTGTGGATTTGTTCATTCTTACTCAAAAAGAGACGAAATACTTGTTTTAGTTGGGAATTGTTGGGGTTTAATTATAAGTAATAAAAAAAACCGGCATAAATGTGTTAATTTTCATACCAAAAATATATTTTTCCTAAAAATGTTCTCGAACTGAAAAATTATTGACTTACAAATACAATGTTTTACTTAATGTTCGTTTTTAATCGACTTCAAAAATTAGGAAGTTCTCAATTCGTCATTACATGATTTTTTTATATCGTTGTTCACGCATCTCTCTGCTTTACGTGGACCGATTTTGGTGATTCTGTTTTTGTTTGAATCAATTAATTTTTGAAGATATTACAAAAAAAACTGATTATACGTATTAATTTGGTTAGGATCTGATCTGAATTTCGGAGAAAATAATAGACTCCTCAATTACAAAAAGTACTCAATTGGTATTTGGTTATTTTAAGAGATAATGCAAGTCAGATACCAAGTACATAGAAAGTTGATCATGCTCTGGCTTATAAAAAGTGTAAAATCAAAAACTTTTTTAACGAAAGTAAAAACCAACTTCATGAAAACAAAACCACTAAAGAAGTAAAAATAATGCATAGTCTTTACTTACATTACATTATTACATTTAAACTCAAAAATAATTTGAAGTCGGTGCCATGCCGTGCATGTTGATAGATCTGAGTTTCTTTTTGGATTTTTCAGGTTCTATCTTATTCATTATGTCTTCAAAGTCGTGAACTACTGGTCCAAATTAAATAATTCTTTTTGTGTTAGATAGTGCATTTATTGAGGCAGGTTATAAGCTATGACACTGATATTATAAAGGCGAAAGTTTGTGAGTGTGTATGTTTGTTAATTCTTTACGTATAAACGGCTGGAGCGATTTTAATAAAATTTGATATTGAGTTATCTGACACCCTGGATTTACACATAGGCTACGTTTTACTGCGGGAAAATATCCTTAATTCTTCTTCTTTGTCGGTATCACTCTTGACAGAGTGGTAGTGGTCATCAATTCAGGTGTTGGTGGCAAGCTTCACAACACGCCGCCACTCATCTCAATCCTTAATTAACCGCAGCTAAAACCGCGGGGCACAGCTAGTATAAAATGAAGCTATAACCAAAAGGACCAGAGCAACAATGAAAAATGTTGCAAATACGGAAAAAGTTTAAGCGCTTCCGTTGCGTGCGCTGCCTAAACGGTAAAAGTAACATATACAAAAATCAAGTATGACATAATTGCTTCCCTTTAAAATTTCATATTTAAAGCATGTCGCCATAGTACGAAACTATCTATCCTACTAGACGCTTAAACATTGATGTTTTGCTGAATTTTGAGTAAAACTCTTCTAAAATACTATTTTCAACTATACAGTAGTTACATTTTAGTAATTGTCGAAAAAAATAAACATTAAGTTAGAAAATAATGTGTTAAAAACCTTATTGACTTCAATAAAATGGCTGCCTTTTTGTAGCAGATGCGAACCTGCAACCATCAAACTTTGTTTTTGAATTTAAATGCCATTTGTAGAGGTCAATTATTTACTGAAGGTTGAAGAATTGCCATCAAAGAATAAAAAAATATATCGTGTTCAGTGTTTTCTTTATAAAGGAGATTGCTGAAATTGGCCCAAACGCACAAAAAAATTGACATACGCGGTAATTCTTGGCGTAATTTATAATTTAATTTACAGTCATTAGATTTCAACGGACACCTTTGTATAATATATTTACTTTAAAAAGGACTTTTAATTTTACCGGTTTGGAAAACATACGAATCATTTTTAATGGCTATGGGTGTAGTAACATTCAGCCAAAGACTGATCGAAGTTGTTTATATAACATAAAAAGAAATCTATTTTGTAAAGATCGATAAAATAAATCATTTTTTTATTACACTATGGTATTAATATCCACAACTATATTATCATTTTTTTCACTACATGCAAATGTGCTCAGACAATTACTATAGATGATAGGCGACATCATAAAGTCTATTGCCATACATTTTTCGCCAAACAGCTCCATAAACACATTTTGATCTGTATATATGTTAGACTTTAAGGTCAATGGGCCTACGTTGCCTGACTATAAATTAATAAATAAATAAAATTATAAGGTGTGATACACTAAAAATGTAAAATATGGTTATATTAAAAACATAACAAAAATAATGAAGCTACTGAATATATGGCTATATAACCTAAATCTCTTAGCTTTCTTTGGTTAACGAGAGTTTAAAAATTCTCTCTAATCTGTGGCTCATTCAAAATCATCACACAGTTTCTGTCACAGAGTACCTTATTATAACCGGAAATGCATAGATGACACCTGATGACTTTAAAAACAGGCAACTATCTGTTAATATAAATGCTCTATATACCTGAATCTAATCCATAATTCCGGTTCTTGGCTTGATTTCTCTAGTTTACTATATAACTTATTTGTATTTTATTATTTTAATATGTTCAGTGTATATGGTTTATAGAAGTTCTCAGGGGTGTCCGTCAATAATATTCGTTTCTACAGTAATTTATATATAATTTCGAATCCAGGAAACAATTTTTCATGATTATTGGTCTTTAGGCCAAACATGTATGGAAGCTGAGCAATCTCCTTTCATTTTTTATTTTAGTAATAATGATAGAGGGCCATTCATTGTGGGGGTGGGGGGCAACATTAGTATAGGTTCCCCTATTCACGCATTTATTTACTATTTTACGCTGATTAATAATAATTACCGTTCATTTTATTTTTTAAATATTGTGACATGATGTGTAAAGATGCGCCCCTTTTAATATCGAATTTAATATAATATACCTCAATGAAACATTAGTATGAAAAAAATCAAAATTTACCGTAAACAATAAGTAAGTCTCGTGATTGTGTGACCAAGGCAATAATACCACGGTTTAATACTAAATGCATACTAAATTGTATATTAAATATGCAGTTTGGAGAAATTCCTTAAAAGTTTCAATAATTCCCTTGACAATGTTTTTTGTATTTTGGTTTGATGTGTTTATATTGTGATAAATGACGCAGTTTAATAATTATTTATTTCAATGCCCAAATTAATTATCATTATTCATACACTGTTCATTATAAAATAAGATTTATTATTATTTACTTGGTCCATAACATGTAAGAATAGTATAAAATTTGAGACAGTTTTTACCATATCAATTATACAATTTTCAGAATGATATTTCATTCTTTTTCTATATTGTTTTTCAATGCATTTTATATTGTAAATTAGGAAATAAATTCTATTTGGTTTAGGGGTTTATTTATTTAAAACAGATCCATAACTCGTAAATACCGATTCCGCAACAGCAATTATTATAAATATTTGTTTTTTATCAGTGTTAGGGTGTTTATTTATTTTATTTATTTATAATAATTATTATTTCGATAAAACTCATTAGTCGTTACTTAAGACCCTGGTGTGCCTTCTAATTTTATTTATAAAAAGTAATTGTATTATACAAAAGTTAATGATTACAGATGAGGAGTTAAAGATGATATCAAAATTTTCTTGCATAGTTGGAATAAGTTTCCAATTTGCGAGCTTTCAAATAAACTCCTTGCAGAATGGCTTACACCTCATAACTGTCAAGAATCTACTTAATAGGTACTTTAGATAAAAAAAAAACTAACTGTAATCCCTTTTAATTTTGTGTTTTTAAGATATTTACGATTTTATGTCAGGCTATTGTAAATAAATATTATTTGGACATTAATATATTTTCTTTTATTAACTATTATGACACACGTTCGTATCATATGACTGCACCAATCCACAAGGGCTTGCTTCTGAGCTTCGGTGAGGTTATGCGGCACCCAGCGGGAAACTATCTTCCTTATGCTTGCTACACATGTCACGAATTATCGTAACGATTAAGACGACGAATCGGAAATATAGGCGGCAGGGATCTCGATTTTTCACAGCAATTACAAAAGATATGCAAGTGATATTTGATAAACCAATTCTTCATTTCATTAACTTCAATTTGTCAGTTGCAGAAACACGATTTATTTACTTTTATAAGAGAGAAAAAAATAACAAAGAAACCTCTTTAAACACAGAGATTTGCATTTTACAGGTAAACCACACCGATTTAAGCCTCTAAAATTTCTCAATAGATTAGTATTTACACTCACTTTAAAATGCCCGTTGGATTTTTTTAAATTTTTTATAGTTTTTAATTGAAACAAAAAAAACCGTTTTGTCGTATACGACCTTATGGTATGAGCTAGTGCGCCCGCGTATTTGTATGGAATCAGTCTCCCCTCAGTCCGCGTTAGTCAGCTTCCGACCATTGTCAGCGACGGGTCTGTGCCAGTCGAGCTATCACGCGCTATAGATTCGATATTCGATATTTTATAATTAAAAATGGGAAAAAAATGTGAACGTTTTTCTAAAACAAAAAGGAAACTTTGTATAATTGAGTAATGTAAAAATATGACTAAGAAAAGGTGAGTAATTATTAACTTTTTATGAAGTGTAAAATTATTTATAGATGATAATTGATAAGACAATAATATAACAACTTGATCAAAGTAAACAAAATGTAATTTATATTCAGGAAAATACAGTGAAAGATATCAGAAAGAATGTCAGTTATAGAAACCACTGTCAAAAGTCATAGTGCTAACAGTTTAATCATAGAGATGAACAGAATAAAAGTTTTTCCAGTTTTATAATACTTAATAGATACCTACTTTTTGGTAGTTATAGGTTTTTGTACTTACTGTTTGACGTTTCGGCTGCGATTCTGCAGCCGTGGTTACAAACGGACTGTCGTCGCTTCAAACAGTAATAGGTACGTAATAGTACGTGGTCATGTACCTACTTCACAATGAATATCGCGTTTCGGCCTGTTATCACGAAAGTTCTATAAAACTATTTACATTTCACTTAGCAGTATTACAAGTTATAAAAATATTTCAGGAAACAATTGTTAGAACAAAGTTTGGAGAATAAAGCCATGGAGTCGTCTATGGATTTAGATGAAAATAAAATAATGACAGTCGATTTTACAGAAGGGTATGTATACCTACACACTATTTTAAAGATCTATTTCCTTCAAATATCAGATCTTTATTTAAGTTGTACCTAATAATATCATATTTTTGTATTTTATAGAAAACAAGACAATAGTTCGCCGATGTATGCAGAGTTACAAAATGTGTTGCCCACGTAAGATTTCATTACTATTTATCAGTAAATTGTGGTATAATAATTTTATTAATAACGAGTTCTCTAATAACAATATTTATTGTAGAACTGCAGATAACAATAATAAGAATCTTCCGTGTAATGTAGAACACATGACAAAATTTACAGTAAGTATTTTGTTTGTTGTTAATTAATGCATCTATTTTCCATGCTTTCAATCTTCATGAAAACTGTAACCGGAAATTATGCAAACACATGGGTCCAGATGCCCCTAATCCATTTTTTGGCAGTCTTCTTTGGCAAAAAATAAAAACACTGTTTGCACAATTAGCTGATAAAGTTCATAGTTTAATAGAAGACGTAGACAGCAATGTTGTGGAAAGATTCAACGGAGTCATAGCAAAGCTCGTGGGTGGTAAGAGAATAAATTATTCACTAAGACGTTCATATCAAGCAAGATGTTCGGGAGCTGTGATCTCATTCAATACCGGTAACTTTTTATCGACTGTCCATCGACATATATATGGAAACAGCCCCAAGCGGTCCATTAAAAAGCTTGAAAAAGCAACAGAAAACAAAAGACTTCAGGCCAAACATGACAAAAGAAAAAAAAATCGTATCTTGATACCAAGAACGCTAAATTTGGATTATGGAGAAGTGGTAGATAAACCAGATTTAGACGAAGATACTTTCAAAAAAGCTCAATGTACTTTTGTCCAATTTGACAAAAACCGACGAAGAACGAAAAGACATTGAAAAGCGAACCATATTACAAAGTGAATCTGGGGAATGGTTGGAGCTTCGAAGAAACATGTTGACAGCCTCGAATTTCGGCAAAATTGTCAAAAGAAAGCAAACTAATTCTTGCAAAAACATTGTTAAAAATTTGTTGTATAAACCCAATATTGATCATGTCCAATCTATATTCGACGACCTCCGTGGCCGAGTGGTTTGTACGCCGGGTTTCATGGCTGTCGCCGACTCGAGAGGTCCCGGGTTCGAATCCCGGTGGGGGCAGATGTTTGTGTGATGAATACGAGCATTTGTACTCCAGTCATGGATGTTTAATATGTATTTATATGAATATACTTATATATGTATAGTATATGTATTCTATCCGTTACCCTAGCATCCCATAACACAAGCCTTATAGTGCTTACTTTGGGGCTAGGCTAATTGGTGTGAGTGTCGGAAATATTTATTTATTTATTTATTTATATGCCATGGAAAAAAGTTCGAAAAAATAGCACTCGAGCAACTATCTACAATAACTAAAATTAAAATTGACAATTGCGGCTTATTTATCGACAAAAAATATCCTTTTTTAGGAGCTACGCCTGATATATATGGGTTACCGAAAATACACAAACCGAATGCTCCGCTACGTCCGATTGTAAGCCAGATTGATTCACCAACATACCGTTTGGCTAAACACGTAGCAAAGTTACTTTCACCACTGAGAGGTAACACAACAGCCTTTGTGAAAGATTCATACCAATTTGTCAATGAGATTAGAGATCAACGTCTCATGGACAATGAAATCATGGTCAGTTTTGATGTTCAGTCCTTATTTATTTTACATTGTTGAACAAACACTAGACTACAATGTTCCACTTAAAACAGATGAGGACATTGTACGGGCGGTGGAGTATTTCAATAAGACCATACAGGTAGCCGCACGATGGACTCTTGTATAAAGTCCTCAAAAACTTACCCAAAAACTTCTATCTGTTTATAAAGTCATATCTCAGTGACACTTCTATGTTAAATATGGTGACTTTAACACAGGCCTACACAAAATAAGAGCAGGTGTTCCGCAGGGCAGCGTAATGGGTCCAATACTCTATCTTATATACACCTTGGACTTACCAAATAGACGAGATATAATGACAGGAACATTTGCTGATGATACTGCCATACTCGCTGTTGATAAAACACCTGAGGGAGCATCGGCAAAATTGCAACAAAATCTGAATGACATCTCAGACTGGCTGAAAAACTGGCGCATAAAGGCAAATGAAAGCAAATCAGTTCATGTCACCTTTTCCTTAAAGAAAGATACATGCCCAGAAGTGGAATTAAACCAAATTAAGATACCGCAGGCAGATGAGGTTCGATACTTAGGAATCTACTTGGATAGACGTTTAACCTGGAAGAAACATATATCTACCAAAAGGAAAGCACTTGACTTACAATTAAGAAAGCTTTACTGGCTCATGGGAAGAAAATCTCAACTCTCTCTAGAAAATAAACTCCTTCTGTACAAGTGTATACTTAAGCCGGTTTGGACTTATGGCCTACAACTATGGGGCACAGCCTCTATATCCAACATAGAGATACTGCAACGCTTTCAATCAAAAGCCCTACGAATGATAACTGGAGCACCATGGTATATGACAAATAATCACCTGCACCGTGATCTAAAAATCAAACCTGTTAAAGAAGAAATAAAGGACTCTTTACTTTCCTATTCTAAAAGAATACAAAATCATCCTAACCAACTTGCAAAAGCTTTGATGGAAAAGCAACCAAACTATACATTTAAGAGACTAAAGAGACGTGCTCCTCAAGATCTTCTCTAACACAAACACAGAAAAGTCAAAATAGATGGGTATATCATTGGATCATGTACCATGCACGACATCTTTTTCCAAATTCGTAAAATCCAGCTTAATGTCGACAAGACAGATTGCAGGAAAAAAAGGAGATTTAAAAAAAAAAAGTCCTTATTTCCATGCCTACCAGTACAGAACTGCATTGAAATCACTAAGAAGAAGCTACTTGAAAACAATATGCCTATAGAATATGCAGTATCACTAGAACATTGCCTTACATCTGGCTACCTGTTATAGGGGGATGACTTCTATGTACAAATGGAGGGCGTTGCGATGGGTTCCCCTGTCTCACCTGTTGTCGCCGATATTTTCATGGAAGACTTCGAGAAGAGGGCTCTCAGCGTGGCACCTGTCACACCCAGGCTATATAAGCGGTACGTAGATGATACTTTCACAATCCTCCCAACAGATCAAATTTCTGCCTTTTTAAATCACCTTAACTCTATACACCCAACCTCTTATTCACTATGGAGTTAGAGGCAGATAGTAAACTAGCTTTTCTAGATATTTTATTAATCGGGAATCCTGACCAAAGTTTAAGCCATCGTAAAGTAACTCATACTGATAGGTACCTCAATGGTGACTCACACCATCACCCGAAACAGTTAACTGCCGTAGGAAACTCTTTGTTTCAGAGAGCACGGGGTGTCTGTGACAAACAACACCTGGCAGCTGAACTTCAGCATGTCGAGCGAGTACTGAAGGATAATAACCTGAATGTACCACGTCGCCGTCACAGTCGCGCCAAACCTAGCACAGTCGACCGACAACCTGCTATACTACCTTACATGAAAGGAGTCACTGACAAGATTGGGAGGATTCTGAAGCGTGCTTCAATCAATACTTACTTCAAGCCGCCAAAGAAGATCAACCAGTTTCTACGACCGGTCAAGTGCAATATACCCTTTCAAGTTGCTGGTGTCTACAAACTTGAATGCGACTGTGGGCTCTCCTGCATCGGGCAAACAAAGAGGAGTATAGGGATTCGGGTAAAAGAATATATCACAGATATGAAACATAGGCGCGAAAATAAGTCTGCAGTGTGTGAACATGCATTAGGGGGACCAAACCATTACATTAGATTTGATAAACCACAGATCCTTGCAACTGAGCAACGATTCGTTCCTAGAATAATACGCGAGGCTATTGAGATTAAAAAATATCCAAATTTCAATAGGGAAGATAGTTGGTATATACCACCAGCTTGGGAACCCATTATTCAGGAGATAAAATCCCAGCTCCGAGCACACACTGACATTAGTACTTGTACTAATTCAAATATTTAGATACTTTCTAGACTGGATAGGAACATAGGTTACTTCTTATCCCGAAAATATATCACATTCCCGCGGGATACCGTCGGCGTCGTGTAGTCCACGCGGGCGAAGCCGCGGCAGGAAAGCTAGTTATAAATAAATAAATATTTCCAACACTCACACCAATTAGCCTAGCCCCAAAGTAAGCACTATAAAGCTTGTGTTATGGGATACTAGGGTAACGGATAGAATACATATACTTGACATATATAAGTATATTTATATAGAAATACATATCCATGACTGGAGTACAAATGCGCGTGTTCATCACACAAACATCTGCCCCCGGGATTCGATCTTGAGTCGGCGACGCCATGAAACCCGGCGTACAAACCACTCGGCCACGGAGGTCGTCAAGTTATGTAATACATTATATTTTCTAATCACAATAGCTGATGGTCAGCAGCCAGCAAGTTATATCATGTTCATTGTTTGTTAATTTGATTTAAAATTCTCTGTGTTAATTATGTTTTGCTCTATTGTGGCATTATTTTAAATGTATTAAACTTTTGTTATTGAGTAACTCTATGGTTTTTCATTTTTGTAGCTATATGCACTTAAGTTGATTTGCAATCAAAATCTCACTCATAGGTATTAAAAAATACAAAGTACCTTACACAAAATCAATCAAACAGTGGCGAAAAAAGTTCGTAGTTAAAAAGGTAAGTAATTTCTGATTGATCATCTACCTGTACGACACAAGGGGTTGATTATCAACTAGGCGCAAAAGACTAGACACACTGTGTCCAATTGATGAAACTCAAAATTAGTATCATTTATTATTTCGTACTCTAGACACGCCAAGATTTTGACGCTTCTACATTTCAAATTACGAAATGATAAAAAATTAAAATCAAAAAGTTACAAGGGCAACTCCAAGACGCTTCTGTTCTAGCGCGCGGTTGAATGCTACTCGCGAGCCGAGTAAAAGTGTCGAGGTGTATGCGGGTTGCGGGCGCAAACGCTCCGTTTTAGATTTTATTGTTTAGCGATTCGTCACCTTAAACTGTGCAAATCGACCTGCGCAGATTTATCGAACGTGCATATGACAAATCGTTGTCGATTATCATTTTAGCAGTTGCAATTTTTATTAGATAAATCGTTGTCGATTGCGTTTGCATAGTTTTATCGTCGCGTGTGGATGGCGATCGCATAGTTCGGCGGTAGGCTCGCAAGTGTGCGCACGTGCGGATCGCTCTTTTAAGACAACATGTCGGAAGAAGAAAGAGGTGGACATCATGAACTAATGCAAGATTTCATATAGATTTCAGTGGGGATATTATTAGACTAATGCTGATATCGACGTCATGGAATGTTATTAATAGAGAAACTGGTAAAGAAAGAACCCTCGATGATGGGATCGCACTTAAAGTAGATAATATTCAAATTAAAACAAAAGAACAGATTGCCAATACTTTTAATGAATATTTCGTTAATAATAATAATAATAATAATTTATTCTCAGACAATTTAAGTCCATAAAATGTTAGTAACAATGTACCTTAAAAACTATGTTAGTAAAGTATAAAATAGATTACAAATAAAATAAAATAATATAATCATCCCCTGCTGGAACACAAGGCACCCCCTACATGCGGCCCGGGGGCTTCGCATGCAAATGCAACCAGCGCTCCAACAGTGGAGAATCCCACCTATCAACTAGTGCCGACAGGATGCTGTTGGTGCTGCCACGTATTCTGCTCAGCAGTGCCGCGCAGCGTTTCCTTATTATGGCATGAAAGCCGTCAATATGCACATCTGCGAACATACTTGAGGCACTACAACACCACGGCAAACCCAACAGCACCCTGAGAGCATTATTGTA